CTTCCATCTCTCACTCTCTCGATATTTTAGCAAAATAAAACTGGATTTTAACTAAGAAAAACATTCAAAAAGTCGGATTTTGGGCAAAAAGGTCATTTTTGGTCAAAAACTTCTAAATTCTTTCCATTAAAAGCAGTTAAAAAGTGCATGTGTCTAGAAGCACTTGCACTATTTATATTTGAAGAATTCGATCGCAAACCCCCCCGATAATGCGAAAGAACCATTTTATAACTATTTTTAAGAATTTGGCAATATACTAGTGATAAACGTGTGTCCGTTCCAGCAGAAAAAGAGAAGAAAACAATTACAAAAGCCCCATACCAGGAGTGCCATGTGGATTTGCATGCGAACGACGTCAGCTTTCGTCTCCCTCATCGCAGCCCGCATTCTCGCCATGTCCGAGGAGATCTTGGCTCCTCCCAGCTTCGTTGTGGATGTCACTTTCGAGGTCCGATTTGAGGGCCTCCCCGTGCATAAAATGCCCCAATTCTCCGTCACTTGAGGAAATCGACCCTTCTGTTTCCAATGGCGTTTTCAGAATTCCGATAAAATACAAGTTTACAAAGTTAAAGCCGGTTTTACTCAATTTTGGGGGTAATTTGCATAATGTGAAAAAATAGAAATTTCTTCATTCTTGCAAGTTGCCCGCGCGCGTGTGGTGGGCCGGGGGGAGGGGTCCGAAGGACCCGAGCTATCGGAAAGTCAAATTTCTTATGCAAAGGCCGCATTCCAGCGCCCAAGGCCCGCGAAGCGGGTTTTGGGCGCTGGTAAAAACAATATAAAACAACATAAAAATTTTCGAACATTTTTTTGAGTCGAAAATATATGAACAATGGCCAAAAAGATTAAAATTCTCGAATTTTTTCCAAATTTTAACATGTTTTGGATAACCTTCTAGTAATTAAAAACTACCAAAAAAACTATAACGATACATGATATATAATCAACAGTTAGGGAGATAAGCATAAAAACAAAAAGTGGTTCCCCCGCTAACAGTCCAGAACCACAGAAACATACCAGCATTTGACGACGCAGCTTCTGTACTTTTCTGCTCGTTTCGCCGAACGTCGAGACTTTTGTCGCCAGGTGTTGGGAGATGAACAATTGGTGGGTCGTCTTCTGGAGTGGAATCTTCTAGATTGCAGTAAAAAAGCCAGGAAAAGATACGTACCGTCATCAGATACGCGCTGAATTCCCAATCCGTACTTTTGGCCTCCAATGTACTTGGCGATAGCCTTTGCGCGATCAGGAAAATTGGCCTGCGTCTTTGCTTTGAGGGCATCATAGTATTCGGCAGTGCTAAAACTCATGCTCAAAGTCAATCCGAACACGTACCGATTATCGATGATCCGGCCATTTCCTTGATGTTGCACGTTCAGATGCAGTTGCAGGTTGCCTTTCTGAGTCATAGTACAGGCGCAAGCTTAAACTACGTGTATTCGGAACATTAGAAATACCAGAACACTTCCACGGTCGGATGGCGAGGTGCGTCGACGAGTGCAGAGCGAGACGCCAAGCCTCAGTTGAATCAATCGAATTTTTGCATCCCTGAAAAAATAGTATTGGATCCCAGAATCTCGACGGCAAATTTCCACCGAAACGCGTTCCATAAACCACATTAGTCCAAAAATAAACGACGCATCCCCTACCATGCAGACGGAGATTTTTCCACCGTCTTGCGCCTGTCATCTTCTGAAAAATGACAGTCGAGAAAAGAATTAAAATATTCGTACCATCATCGGACGCATCTTGAAATCCCAATGCCTCTTTTTGTCTCCAATGTATTTAGCAATTGAAACTGAGTGAGCTGGAAAGTTGGCTTTCGTCTTCGCCTCGAGCGCATCGTAGTATTCGGCAGTGCTAAAGGACTCCGTCATAATTAATCAGAGCACGTACCGATTATCGATGACTCGGCCGTTTCCTTGATGTTGCTCGTTCAGATGCTTTTGCGTTGCCCTTCAGTTTCGCAGTAAAGGTACAGACTGTAAATAGGTGTATTCGGAACATTGGAAATACCAGAACTTCCAGGGTCGGAAGGAGGTGTGCCAACGAGTGCTGAGCGAGGTGACTAGGGTCATTTCTGCAGTTCGCGTTGCTGCACTGCTAAAAAAAGCATTCATTAGCGGGGTGCTGTTTCAGTCGCCCGCGGTCCTTATTAGAAGCGACGATAATAGCCCGCATTCGGGATTACATACCTTGCCAAACGGGCCTTGTTTGACGGCTTGTTCCTCTTCCGAATCCGTCGGATTGTCGTCAGTAGGCCAGCGGCGCTTCAAGGCACGGCCTTTTCCAGGTGTCACCGGGGTCATTCCTGGAAAAGTAACAAGCGTCTAGTCGCAGCCCTGTACACATCCAAAGACGAAACTTTTCTTGGAAAAATTACGGTAACTAGCTAAAATGTCGATTTTTGGGCTGGAATCGATAGATCTCGTCGAGTTCTTCCATTTCCAATTGAAAAACTATCGGGACTAGCTTTTAACTGAAGTTATAACCATTTTAAATTGGCCAGCTCACTTTACGGTACCAAAATAAAAATAAATGGATTTTCCGGGTGGAATCGATGGATCTAATCGAGTCTTTACGTTAGTCCTATTAAGACAAAAAATTAAAATTGTCAATTTTCAAACCCGATATTCGAGCTGTTGAAGAACACGCGCTCCTGAGCAACGGTTTCCGAAAACAACAATTTATTTGGTTCAACAACGTTTTAAGAGCAAAGTGCAACATAAAAATTATTTCAACAAATTGCATTAGATGTATCGAGATAATAGGCGTCTGCTCTCTTCATGCATCATTCTCGGCGTGGGCTCTACCATCAGCCAGTCTGGATCCGCTCCCACAGCGCCGTCATTTCTTCCCTGAGCATCTTCACCTTGGCGGCTTGCTGCAGGCCGAAATATTATTAAATACCGGGTTGAAAACCTGGCGGATCGTCATCTTTCTGAAACTGGCGGTTGAGAAGAAGTGGAAGGTGCACCATGATCAGATGCATCTTGAAATCCCGCCGCCTTCTTTCGCCCTCGAATGTATTTCGCGATAGCACTTGAGTGAGCCGGAAAGTCGGTTTTCGTCTCCGCCTCCAGCTCATCGTAGAACTCAGCAGTGCTAAAACTCAGCTCAAAATCAAACCGAGCACATACCGGTTATCGATGGCCCAACCATTACCATGATGTTGCGCGTTCAGATGCGTTTGCAGCTTGTCTTTCTCAGCCCTAGTACAGGCGCAAACTGGAAATAGGTGTATTCGGAACGTTAGAAATCCAGAGACACCTCAGGGGTCGGAAGGAGAGGTGTGACAACGAGTGCCGAACCAGATACGGAGCACTAGTTGAGCGCATCGGGGTCCTGCATTCCTGGAAAAACAGTAGTAAACCAGATGGTTCCAGACGCGTCGCGATTGCAAAATTGGCTAAATTTTCGCACATAAAGGATCAACCAGGATAAAAAAATCACTTCCCGAATTTGCTACTGGTCTTAAAAACTCGAGAAATGAAATTATTTGAAAAATAAATGGTTCTATCACCCACCATGCAGCTAGAGATTTTTCGACCGTCTTGCGGATTGTCATCTGCTGGAAAGATGGCAGTCAAGAACGAATTAAAATAAACATACCATCATCAGATGCATCTTGAAATCCCAGTGCCTTCTTTTGTCCTCGAATGTATTTAGCGATGGCACTTGAGTGATCCGGAAAGTTGGCATATATCTTCGCCTCGAGCGCATCGAAGTATTCGGCAGTGCTAAAGCTCATGCTATTTAAAAGGGATACCGACAGCATAGACAATCCGTTAAACGCGGGAAAGAAAATGTCTCCGCGCCTCCCCCCGGGGCGTGTTCTCTGCCCTGTTGGCTACTTGCCAATTTGTTGATGGGGGGGGGGGGGGATCGACACATGCCGTCGGCAGCCCTTTAAAGTCAATCCGCGCGCGAACCGGTTATCGACGGCCCGGCCGGTTCCCTGATGTTGCGCGTTCAGATGCACCTGCAGGTCGCCTTTTCGAGTCGCAGTACATTCGCAAACTGAAAATAGCTGTGTTCGCAACACCAGAAATACCAGAACATTTCCAGGGTCGGAAGGCGAGGTGCGCCACCGTATGCTGAGCCAGCTGGTAAGGCTGATCGCGGCAGATAGCATTGCTGCACTGCTAAAACAAACATTAAATAGCGGGGTTTCGCTGATAAATTTGCCGTGAATCTTGGCCAGAATTAAAGACGACAATATCAGCCCACATTAAAATGCTGTGCTGACGTACCTTGCAAACGGGCGTTGTTTGACGGTGTTCTTCCTCTTCCAAATCCGTCGGATTGTCATCAGTAGGCCAGCGGCGCTTCACGGCACGTCCTTTTCCAGGTGACACCGGGGTCATGCCTGCAAAAGTAACAAGCATAAATTAGCAGCACTGCATACAGCCAACGACGACACTTTTCTTTTTTCACAGGCCGAATGCAAAAGCAAAGTTTTTGGATTTAATATCGCTAACAAATTTAACACTCGGCTGGGGGGGGTTGACCCTATGACATACGCATTAACGTAATCTGTATAGAACAAATATGTGATCTTTTTCGACCCAAAATAACCGAAAATTCGACTTTCAGATACTTGTGTAACTTTTTTGCAAGTTTTTCTACTCTAAATATAGTGAAAGCCTTATTCAAATCAGCATAGTAACATTTTTTTATAGAAAGTGAGAACTTCGGGCAGACGTCGTTTCCTAAATTGGCCAAGCGTAGGCTAAAACTCGAGTGTTTTGGTCAGATGCTTCTTTCATCACAAAAATGAAACCAAAACAGCGTTGAAAACCACAAATTTCTAAGAATTTATGTATCGCCAGATCGGCGTTTGCCGAATTTCGAAATGACAGCAGTCACCGTCGAAAAAAGGCCTCGCCATTCCCTCTCAATAAATTGCGGCGCATCCACGAGTTTTGAGCACGAGCAACCAAATAAAGCTTTCAACGATTTATCGGAGGCCTGGAGCGCGGCCAAAAAAACCGACAAACAGGCCAACGAACAGATTCTGTAATAAAACGAAAGAAAAGCAGGCGAACTCCCCGACGGGGGAGCACGATGCGGAACAATTCAACGGTTCGGACAATAAAATGCGAGAGAGCAAAGAGCAGAAAGCGACGAGGAGGCACATTTCAACAACGAGAGGGGCAAATAAAATACGAGTATTTCAGCGCAAATGTGGCGGCACGTATTTGGGCTTGGTGGGAGCGGCGGCGGGCTTCGTTTCTTCAGGCGTGGCTTCGGCCTTCTTTTCCGGCTTGGCGTCAACTTGGGCGGGAGGGGCGCTGGGCTTCGAGTCGACGGCCGGGCCGGGGCGTGGAGCGCTGGCCGTCGGCGTGCGCGTCATGGCGCGCGCGGCGGCGATGGCGTCTTCCTAAAAGGAGAAGAGCAAAGTGAGAAACATGTGCTTTGACGTTAGCGGGGGGGCAGAACTTTTGCTACGAGAAGAGAAATGCCTAGTAACGTAACAGTGAGTTATTTTAGTCACATTTATCTAGATTTCAAGCAGCACGACCAAAAAAAAACGGTAAATCTTGCCAGAAAATGAGGGATATTTCGCCAAAAAACGATGGTTTGTACTTTCTACTAGAAATTTGTAACGTTTGTATGTTTAGAATAGCAAAAATCAGTTTAGAAACACTTTCCCTTTTTATACTAGAAAAAATTGGGCACTTAGAAAAAAATATTGTTGCCCCCGAGCATGCGAAAGATCCGGAAAACAATAAAAAAAAACATTAAAAAAATTGTTTTAGTGGAAATTTTGGTACAGAAGCCGATTTTTTGGTTTTTATGACAATTTGTAAGCTTTTACGTCTAGAATATTATAATATCCTTAGAAAAAGTTACCTTTTCAGCCCGGCGGGCAGCGGCAAAATCGGCGTCATCATCGCCTCGCCTGTTCGGCGGCACGTATCTTCCGCCCGAGGCCGGCGGCTGCTCCACGGAAGTCCTAAAAATGGGAAATCTTGCCAAATGCCAAAATCTTACCACGGGTTCTTCTTGTCGTCCTTGTGTTGCTTCTCCATCTCGACGGCGGCGCCGATTGTCGGGAACATTTCCTGAAAAAAAGTGAAGATTGTGAAATACATTCATACCTGATTGGTGAGGTCGATGTTGGCACGTGGCGCGCGGTAGACCTTCGGCCGGTAGGCGCCGCCGGTGGCCGGCTTGGCGACGATTGGCGCCGAGGACTCGTCATCTGTCTGCCCGTCTTCTTTCTAAAAAGCCAAATATGGCTATCAATAATTGAGAACACGGGGCGCTTGTGTGTTAGCGGGGGGACCAATTTTCTAACGGGGGAGCTAGGGAATTTTTTGCGATGGCATTCTCCCGCGAAAAATTAATTTAAACCATTTTCCTGCATTTTACAACGTTTTTTATTTAAAACAGCTTAGATAACATTACAACTAATTTGAAAACGAGGAGTTTTGCGCGAAAACATGAAAAATGGCCAAAACTACCCAAAATGGAGATTTTTCAGATGTTCTAATACGCATTTTGTAATGTTTTAGTGGTCCTAGCGAAAAGAATACAAAGTACATTTTGTTTTATTACTAGGCAGGTACGGATCAACAAAAAAATCGCTCCTTGCTCCCACGCCAACACGGAGCACCGAGCATGGCCATGAAACTTTACCGTATCGAACCATCCCTTGTGGCCATGAAACTTTACCTTATCGAACCAGCCCTTGTGTTGCACCTCGACGACGTTTTCTTGCGCGTGTTCGCTCACTTCCTCCTTTTCGCTGATCTCGGCGCCCATGTCTTTGATGCCAAGGCCCTCGAGACTAAAAGCCGAATTATGAAAGACACAAAATTATTTACCGTCCACAGTCATCCTCAAACTCGTCGATCCACTCGGTGTCAACGCCGGGTCGCAGCGGCGGGGCGTCAACGTTTGGGCGCGAGTCTTCAACCTCAGCAAAAGCTTCGAATTCCTGAAGAAAAAAGTAAAATATTACGAGAAACATCAAGCATACCGTCTTGTTGGCGTGGCGGACGAGCACCTCGGCGACGGCGTCGATCGAGACGACCTTCGGCTTCTTCTGCTTGTCCTTGCGCTTGGCGAACAGGGCCGACACCTCCGACATGTTGATCAATCCCTCAGGCTGGGCTGCGCGAGCGCCTGCTTGGCACGGGGAGGAGCTGTAGATTCCTGAAAAAGGCGTTGAAAAAACAAAGCAGACGCGAAAGAAACCGGAAAAAGACAAGATTTGCAGGAATTAAAGTTGAAAGGAGCCGTGAACGTTTCGGCAGCTGCCTCCCGGTCCCTATCTTTTCAAAATCGGTTTCTAAGGATAAACATGAATTTTTCGGACATAAATTTCGATGCGAAAGACGTTTTGAGCATCTGTCTACCAATTCCGTACCCGAAAATGGTTTTTTCTCGGAGCGGGACGCAAAGTAAAATCAAGACGGTTAGGAACGCCGGTTTTCAGGAACCGTTTTCGAAGCTTAAAACGTTAATTCAGATAAAACTCTACAGGAATGGAATAATAACTCAGTGATAGTCGCGAATTTTGAGCAAAACGAAACGGCAAAAAGACAATAAGTCGAAGAAAATTGGTAGAATTGCGAACAATCGAAAATCCAAAACCTGCGCGCACCAGCTACGTCACACGCCTATGTACGCTTTCGTGCGGTGGAGCGTAACGGAACGTAGTAAAATCGTAAAAAATTATTTTTTTTCGTCCCTCATTGTTTCGAAAGTCTGCTCATGAATTTTTGATCGGTTTTACGTTAAATTTTCATAGGTATGTTAAATTTTACTATTTTAATAATAGTTGTGAATCTATCGGTAATCGGCAAGTAATCGTATTTTGGTCGAAAACAGCTTTGTTCTCGATTTAGCTTGTTTTTTTGACGCTATATTGTTGAGTTTCATTTAAATGACTGGTTATAGGGGGTTTTATACAGCTTCCAGTGGTTTAATAGTGTTTTGGCGACTTTTACAGGCTCTTTTCGAGTGAAAAGTGTGTCGTTTTGCTGTATTTTTGTGTCTTTTTAGAGATGCAATGCGTTATAACGCCGAATCTCGAAACGCTCTTTATTTTCTTGAAAAATTCGGAGACTACAAGGGAAACGAGAAACGAAAAGAAAAACATATCCACTCGAAATTGATCGTGATCACAATGGAATGCACATGACGACACAAAACACAAGAAAAACACACACAGCCATGGGAGGAAATCGGGTTTTAGTTTTAAAACGTTTTAAATTCTTTAGTAAAAGCTTTAAAACTCGAAAAAGTGGAAAACTAGTTACAAAATGGATTTGGACGATAAAAATGTGGATTTTACGAGGGTTAGAAAGTTAAAAATAGTTTTTTTTAAATAAGTAGGCAATGCGGGGGCTGTAGAACTGCAAAAAAAAAACGTCTATTTTTGATACGTTTGGGTCTTTTTCCGGAACACAAATTACAACCGTGTGACGGGGGTGTTTTTGAGGGTACAACCAGTTGGGAGGGCGGATTTCAGTTTAGAGAAAACGGGGGAGCTTTTGCATTATCGGGGGGGGGCCTTCCTAGGGTCTAATTTTTCCGTTTTTTACTTTTTAAGAGTAAAAATTCACAAATTTCGCTTAAAAATACGAAAACATCGATTTTAAGACCAAAATTTCAATTTTTATCAAAAATCCAAAAATGTCGGCTTTTGGACCAATCTTGCTTATAAAAAATTCTAAAGTGTTTCTAAGTTGTCTTTTACTAAATTTAAGCGTAAAAACTTTACAAATTTTTATCAAAAAATAGGAAAATATCGATGTTTTTCCAGCAAAATTTCGAATTTGAAAATTTTTTGCGTTTTTAAGCTACTTTCCACTTGAAATGTAGTTAAATTTTGCTAAAATCACTGGACCTTTACAAAAAATCGTCCCCCCCCCCGTTAATGCACGAACACCGCAAATTGGGTACATAGCCGGGGGGTAAAGCTGCGAATGCAAAAAAAAGAATCGGGTTGTCTTTTAAAAAAGGAAAAAGGAGATTCGCGAGCAATTGGGCAAATACGGTACATTGCTTGGGGAAAAGACACGGCAAAATTCAAACTACAAAAAACCACAAGAAAAACGGGATTTTGACTTCAAATCACAAGAGTGTAGATAAACCAGCGGGGCAAAAAAGATAGAGTTTTTGGTCGGGACCGGCGGGTATAAACGGTTACGCCATGTATTTGGCACTGGAAAAGCGGCCGCTACGGTCCCTTTAGGAAACCGGAAATGGCAGGATTTCTTAGAGATTGGCCAGATCGCCGCGCAGATCGTTGCCGCGGCTGCTTTCGAAGATTGGGATCGGGTTGCTGGTGATCGGCGTGATGCCCGTCGGGCCGTCCAGCAGGGTCGGGGCTCCCGCTGAAAAATCGTGTTTTAGGAATCCGCAAATGATCTCTGCTAGCTTGCCATAAGCCAAGCCTAGGCCAAGCCTAAGCCAAGCCTAAGCCAAGCCTAAGCCAAGCCTAAGCCAAGCCTAAGCCAAGCCTAAGCCAAGCCTAAGCCAAGCCTAAGCCAAGCCTAAGCCAAGCCTAAGCCAAGCCTAAGCCAGGCCCTCAAGCCAAGCCTAAGCCCAGGCCTCAAGCCAAGCCTAAGCCAAGCCTAAGCCAAGCCTAAGCCAAGCCTAAGCCAAGCCTAAGTCAAGCCTAAGCCGGAGCCTAAGCCAAGCCTGCCAAGCCTAGCCTAGCCTAGGCCAAGCCTACGCCAAGCCTTGGCCAAGCCTAGCCCTAAGCCAAGCCTAGGCCAAGCCTAAGCCCAGCCTCAGCCAAGCCTAAGCCAAGCCTAAGCCAAGCCTAAGCCAACCCTAAGCCAAGTCTAAGCCAAGCCTAAGCCAAGCCTAAGCCAAGTCTAAGCCAGCCTAAGCCAAGCCTAAGCCAAGCCTAAGCCAAGCCTAAGCCAAGCCTAAGCCAAGCCCTTCCCTACCCAAAAACCAACTTACGAGTAAAGGAAATATTTCCAAAGAGCGAGTTTGGCTGGTAGGGAGTCGAGCTGAGCCCCTGGGAGGGCGTGACCAACGCGATCGAGCTGGAGCCCTGAAAAATTTTTAAAATTATTGTTAAGTTATTAAACTTTAAAAAATAATCCAAATTTCCCAAATAATCTCTGCTAGTCTGCCCCCTCTTTCTCCACTTACCGTCGACGTGGCGGGCAGCTCGAAAAGCCGATCGGGTCGCTGCAGGTCTTCCGAATTGTTCATGTTCAGCTGGGCGAGCGTCTGCTCCTCCTTCGGGTTCTGCAACGGGGGTTACGGTAAATGCCATTTTTAGATAATTTTTCGTCTTTATTATTTTTACTCCTTTCCCTAGTGCTCTCTGCTAGCCTGCCCGAGCGAATTTTTAAAAAAAGCACATGGTTGATCGAAAACTACTAGTTCTTAGACAAAAATAAACAGAAAATTCGATAAAACATCAATTTTTAAAAGATTCTAAAAATTTCCATAGTTACCGTATTTAATACAGTAGGCTTAATGCGTCTTTGGTTATTTATTTCGACCAAATTACTGGGTTTTAAAACTGAAAATGACCTAATTTTTTTGGTAAAACACCATTTTTTTAATTCGAAAAATTTCTCCGAGCCTGGTCTATCAAATCAGTATTGTTTACTACGGTATTTCTGTTTCTAAAAATGTTACAAATAAAGTTTAGAAATGTTGAAAAAAATATTTAGACGATGTTTTAAAACTTGAAAAATTGTTGAATTTTCATTTTTAGAAAGGTGTTTCATCTAAAGGTTGTCTTAAAACATGAAACCCAAAATTATTATGTAGACGGGTAGATGATTTAAAATTAATTTGTCACGTCCTTAAAAGTTCAAATTAAATTTTTTAAAACAATTTTCGTTTTTAGAAAAGTGTTTCAGGCCGAGACTATGTGTAAAACATAAGAAGACTTCAAGATCGTAATTAACTTCAAGGACCGGATTCCGAAAAATTTTAATTTTTTAAAAACCTAGGTTGGGTCAAATTAAAATTACCTTTGCGGTGAAAATGTCGGCCGGGGGGAGCTGGCGCTTCCTGTCATTGTGTTGTTGGTCGTAGCCGCTCATCACTGAAACGTGGGAATACGGTAATTTTTTCATATTTTAGCACCTTTCTATTTTTTTAATTCACGGCACTACATCTATTAATCTTATAATAATAATACTAACTAATAATACCATAATTACGACAAGTATTCTACAATATTTTACGACTTTTACACCACCACAATACGCACAGTACGATATTGATTTTTACCTTCGGTAAGCGCCGTGCGGGCTGCTTCTAAAAAAAACTCGGAAATTCTTTATATTTTAAGTGTTTCATGTAAAAGTAAAAAACAAGCTATTTTTACAACCCTTAATAGAGCCTTGCCTCCAGAAACTTTTAATTTTTATCGTTAAAAGCCATGGCTGCTCAAAAATACGGATTTTTAAATTAAAGCGAGCGTGCCGTAGAAAATCAAAGAAAAATCAACGCGTAATTTTATAAATTTTTTAATAAGTTGACTATTATTTATAAGTAAAGTATCTAATAATCTAATTTTGGTTTAAATCGATTATTTGATTGAATTATTTGATTAAGCCCGAAAGCCCAATAATCTACAAGATAATAAGCTTCGAACGCTCGATTTTTTTGAAAGATAAAAATTCGAAAGACTCAAAACGTCTGAAAAAAAACAAAGTTTTTGTAAACCGGGAATTATAGCTTGTGGAGCACATAAGAAAATTCCCACCAAAAAAGAGAAATCTATGATTTTTGAAACATTAATTATTGGATTCGAAAAAGTCATCTAAAAAATCAATTTTTAACACCCAAAAGCCGCTGGGCAGTTCGAAAAAAAATTGTTTAAACAGGAACTATCCAAAAAAAATCAAATATTTTCACAAGCTGAAAACCGGTGATAAAGGAATAGAAAACCAGCACATATTAAAAAATGTAGACCAAAACTTAGAAATGCACAATTTTTGAAACATACTTTGCTCGGTTTTATCAGAAAATATCTAGAAAATTTAATGTTTTTTTGTAAAGTAAGCCCTTATTAAAATTCAGAAAAACTCACTCAAATGGCTCTGCTGCGGGTTGAGCGCGCCGGGCGCGTTCGATGCCATCGCCATCGTCGACGCGCTCGACGTCGGCGGCACGTTCTGGAAAAACTAAATTTGCCATTCCATTGCTTGTATATTAATTTTTCAGAATACTTTCTAGTGTATTTGAGTGCTGAATAGAAATTAAGCTCAAATTTGGTCCGTAAACTTCAATGTTTCATTTTTACACTGTAAAAACGTGAATAAATACTCTACACTGGCTAGAACCTGATAAAGACCCTAAATTCGATAATTTTCTTAATTAAAACCACCGAATTTAATGCAGGCATTATAACTTTGATTCTATAAAGCTTTCTCGATTTAGCCAATTTTTTGAAAAATTGTGTTTCAGAAAAACCAGAGTTTGCTTGGCTGCTGCAAGAATTAATGGGCGTTGTTTACTCAATATATCAATGCTAGGTTTTCCTAATTCACAATATAAAAAAATGGATTTTTTTTATCGTGGGTCGCCGACCCTTTAGTTGATCTTTAAGATACCTTTAAAATACTTTTGATAGGATCCAACGCCCATTTTTCATCAATTTTTTCAGATTTGAGATTTCAAAAAATATGTTTCAAAAAAATTAGTGTTTCCGCAAAATTTTGGCGAGATTAATGTCTTTTCACTTTGCCTGGCCCCTTCCCCTTCGGTACCTTTCATCCCCCCGGCGTTGTTGACCAATATTCAGTAAAAACGTCATTTTCTGAGTTCCTAGTCCCCTTTAAAACGCCACGAAAAACTCCTCAAAGAACTCACTCGGCTCACCTGCGATGTGTGGGGGATGCCGACCGGGATTTGGGACCGCTGCTCGGGCGTCATTTTGCAGTCGTGCGTTTGGAGGAATCGTTGGAGGTCCGTGATCTGAAATTGAGCATGAGTATTTCCACAAAGAATCCCTGCTAGCCTGCCATTTCCCTCCCTCTCTCATCCCAAATGATCTCTGCTAGCCTGCCCCCTCCCCCTCTCTCTCATCCCAAATGATCTCTGCTAGCCTGCCCCCTCCCCTCTCTCTCATCCCAAATGATCTCTGCTAGCCTGCCCCTCCCCCTCTCTCTATCCTAAATGATCTCGCTAGCCTGCCCCCTCCCCCTCTTCTCATCCCAAAAGATCTCTGCTAGCCTGCCCCTCCCCTCTCTCTCATCCCAATGATCTTGCTAGCCTGCCCTCCCCCCCCCCTCCCCTCTCTCATCCCAAATGATCTCTGCTAGCCTGCCCCCTCCCCCTCTCTCATCCCAAATGATCTCTACTAGCCTGCCCTCACCTGGCTCTTCAGCTCCTTGATCTGATTGTCCTTCTTGCGGTTCTCGTCCTTTTGCTTGTCGACTTGCTGAAAAACGGGGTTGCATTTTGGGTTTAAAGGCAGTGTAACAGATAAAAAACGCCGTTTTAAAGGGATTGTGAAGGCTAGAAAAACCCATTTCAAAGGGACAGTAACCCTTAGCCGACCTCTTGCAGCGTGTGCATCAACTCCAGCCGCCTCTGCCTGCACCTAGCCGCGGCCTCCTTATTCCGCTGCCGGCGCTTCAGCTTCTTGTCGTAGTCCTCGTCTTCCATTTCCGGCTGTAAAAAACCGCATTATTTGGATGTTTTTGGGCCATAATTTTATGTATTTTCTACTATTTTTTTCAGACATTTAAATCGCGTGTTATTACCGTATCAACCTCGGACTTTTTTAGACCGTCAAATTCTCGAGAGATCCATGTTTCACGGAAATTCAAAGTATTTCGCTTTGGAAATGGGTGTTAATGAGTCGATGATCTGAACTGATAGTCAACATCTATAAAAAAACATAGCCCGAAAGCCTCAAATCGGAATCCAAATAATTTGAGTTAAAATTTGATACTATCAAATGGTAGTTTTTATGACTTTCTAGCAATCAAAAACTACAAATAACATTATAAAAATACATTATGTTTTAGTAACTGGCGGAAAAAATTATTTTCGCTCCCCTGCGAACAATCTACAGGCCACGAATACTGTAATGTTTCAAAAAAATAGCTGCGTGTATAAAAAATATGTTAATGGTTATTTCACGGCGTGCGCAAAAAATTAATTTAAAAATCAAGCAATAAAATACATTGATTTTATTTTATTCGCAAAACGATTAGATGTTTCAAAGAAATTCCGATTTGACCTCCCCTTAATAGCCTTAATTAATTGGAGCAAAATGAACTTAGCGCATATTTTTTTTCGAGAAACGAAAAAGCTCAAAAATTGTTGTGCTGTACTAATTAAAAAGTTCACAATCATGGAATTAATCACAAGCCTTCAATAACTTTATGTTTCATAAAAACTCCATTACACTTACACCGAATGATATTTTATTCAATAAACCAGCACTACCTTGAGGGTTCAAATTTCAATACGAGTTTATGATCTTCTTATATTCAAGCAAATTAAATAACCTTGGAAAAAGATATAAAATTACTATAAAAGTTAAAAATAGTAAATTTCCGGGAAATGCCGGATTCAATCGATCACCCGAGTAAATTAATGTTTCGTAAAAATGCCATTACACCTGTGTAAAATCATGTTTAATTTTTACTCGGACATGAGCAAAAAAAAACCGAAATCAAAGCATACGCTCTTTTTTAATTTGAAAATTAAATAATCCTCGATAAATTAGTAAAAAAGTCGATAAAAACTTAATAAATACTTGGAAACCCGGCAATCCATATGTATGATGACTTAATGTTTCACAAAAAATTCCGTTCCGCCTTTGTAAAATCGAAACTAATACAAGACGCTTCCAGTGGTTCATTAAAAACGTATTAAATTGCCATAAAAGCCTCATAAATCCGCGCCCAGTTTCAAGAAGCCTTGCACAATTTAAAATTTAAAAATTTTGAAAACTGGACTGAATTTGGTATTTAAAAAACAAAACAAATCTATTTTTATCTTTAAAGAAACTAGCGAAGCCCGAAAAAGTTATTAAAATACCTATAAAAGCTTAATAAGCAACGGGAGATACCGGAATCGATCAATAACCGGACTTCCGGTTTTTCAGGTATAAAAACCCGAAGGAAAATCATTGCATTACGCGATGTAATTCATTACCATGTCGTCGTCGGGGGCCGGGGGGCGTCGGCGCGCCGTTTTTAGCGATTTTTAGGGAATCTGGGGGTGGCCTGCCCCTAATCGGTGCCTTTAATTGGGCGCGGTAGAACCCGAGAGTGAGGCAGAGAGGTGTGGGCCTTTTCGGGGAGCGCACGGGGCGAGAGAGTGGGAGAGAGGGAGAGAGGGCAGAGAGGGGTGAGAGAGGAGAGGGAGCAGACACTGGGGTCTCTTTGGGGTAGCGGGGAGGCGAGAGAGAGAGTGAGAGAGAGAGCGAGAGAGAGAGAGAGGGGAGAGAGCGAGCGAGAGAGTCTCTCTCCTGAAGTCCAGGCAGACGAGAGAGCACGACTCCGTGAGAGAGAGCAGACAAGTAAGACCCCCGGGAGTGCATGGGAATCCCTGAAGCGAGAGAACAGGGCAGAGAGAGAGCGAGAGAGAAAGAGAGAGAGAGCGACGCAGAGAAAGTGCTCTCCAACCTCGAGACTGCTCGGGAACACTGCCCTCTCCTAACCTGGGGATACGGTGGCGGGAGCGCGGGATAGGCGTCAGACTGGGCCCGAAATCGTGGAAATCAGAGCTGAGGTCAGGCCGGCCAGCAAGGTTTTTTGGAGAAATGATTTTAATGTCCTAATGAAGTTTCAACCTGCACACAGGCTTTTATTCTAGCCAAAAAGATTAGCCGAAACCGGCGTTTTTCCGGAACATTTTTCTTTTGTAAATACTATGCAAACTCGACACTGGCACTCATTGGATTCTTGTCTTATCTGTGCCTTTAATAGAGACGGTGAATTTGCTTAACGGTTTTTATTAATATTGCAAAAATTGGATTTTAATACATAGTTTCCTTAACTTTCCGTGAAACTTTATTTTATCTGCTGGCTATTCGGATTTTATTTGCGGCATCTTTCAAATGGTTTTCGACTGAAATCTCGAAGAGTCATTAGTTTTCCTTCAATTTCTCTTGTTTTTTAAGCCTAGCCTAAGCCCTAAGCCCTAAGCCAAGCCTAAGCCAAGCCTAAGCCAAGCCTAAGCCAAGCCTAAGCCAAGCCTAAGCCAAGCCTAAGCCAAGCCTAAGCCAAGCCTAAGCCGGCCTAAACCAAGCCTAAGCCAAGCCTAAGCCAAGCCTAAGCCAAGCCCCAAGCCAAGCCTAAGCCAAGCCTATAGCCTAGCCTAAGCCGCTAAGCCAAGCCTAAGCCAAGCCTAAGCCAAGCCTAAGCCAAGCCTAAGCCAAGCCTAAGCCAAGCCTAAGCCAAGCCTAAGCCAAGCCTAAGCCAGCCTGCTAAGCCTGGCTAAGCCTAAGCCAAGCCTAAGCCAGCCTAACTAGCCCTAAGCTCAAGCCTAGCTGCTAGCCAAGCCTAAGCTCGCTAGCCTAAGCCAAGCCTAAGCCAAGCCTAAGCTGCTAAGCCAAGCCGCTCAGCAAGCCTAAGCCAAGCCTAGCAAGCCTAAGCCGCCTAAGCCAAGCCTAAGCCAAGCCTAAGCCAAAACTGGCGCTATTTTCCATTTATTTGCTTCTTTTTCGGTCCCTCAAAAATCAGCTGGCCGATTTCCTGGGGGCGGCTTTTCCCCCGTGGTTCGAAAAAACGAGGGTGCGTGTGGAAATGACGTGGGGTGGCGGTTCCAGTTGGGGGAGAGAGAGCGGGAGAGAGTGAGAGGAAGAGAAAGTGTGACTCACCCTGCCCGGGTCCCTCGTGACTCACAAAACCCGGGGGAAATCTGAGGGTTTATTTGCGAAAATAGAGAGGGCTGCCTGGCAGAGGTTTTTGGGGAAATTTTGTAGTTTTAAAATCCTAAAAAATGGGCAAGCTAGCAGAGATCATTTGGGAGGAGGTCGAATTCCCTTAATTTTTAGGAAAACACGTTTCGAACATATACGCAGTTTTCCGATCCTAATACGGCTTAATAACCAGCAGCGCAGGTCTCTTCTCTATTCCCAAACCACGGAAACTAGCAGAGATTTTTGAGCATATCCAACGCTACTTTGAGCCCTTTTTTAGGGGCAGGCTAGCAGAGATCATTTGGGAAAATCTCGAAATGTCGCAAGAAATTGGTAATTAGATGAGGGAAGAAAAAAAATGGGACCAGGGAGCCGATGCTAAACATTAGGTAAGGGAATTCGTGGGCGTAGACTAGCAAAGATTCTTTGAGGAATGGAGGGGCAGGCTAGCAGAGATTCTTTGAGGAATGGACGGGGCAGGCTAGCAGTGATTCTGGAGGAATGGAGGGGCAGGCTAGCAGAGATTCTTTGAGGAATGGACGGGGCAGGCTAGCAGAGATTCTTTGGGGAATGGACGGGGCAGGCTAGCAGAGATTATTTAAGAAAAGCTGTCAAACTCGGTGAATCAATAAATGCAATACCTTTAGACAAACAGAAAGACGAAAGCCGGCCCGGAAATTGTCCAGAATCTCGGCGGACTACAAAGAAAATTTGCCAAATCCGGGAAAATCCCCCGTGGCGGGGGAAGGGGAAAGATTAGTGTCGATGCCCCTCGGGGAATGTTTTGGGGGCTATGACGGCTCAATGAATTGTTTTTGAGGGTAGAGGCTAGTTCCGGGGTTAGGAAAAATATAAAGCAAAAATGGCTTGTAAGGAATATTGAAAAATTATGTTTTGAAATTCCCTAAAAAAACGAAAAATTTTGCAGGTCTAATTATGTCAAACCGCCTTGTATTTTGTAAAATGGTACAAATTAAAGCCCAAACAAAAAAGCACAGAAAAGCAGCTCGAATTAAAGTAGGAAAAAGGGCTATCTGGCAAACCATTACTCCGCAACATTTTGTTTTAACTAAAAATGCCAAACTTTAAAAAGCTAATTCGATGTTATTACTGAAAAATATTAAGAAATTGCAAAAGCCGACTCCGCTGTTTGCCTTGAAGCTATTTTAAATGAGTTTAAAAGTTAAAAAGCACCACTTTTCGGTTAAAAAATATGAAAATTAAATTAGGTAAATAAAGCAACAGCAAACTAAGTAAATAAAAACGGATTTGGGTACCATTTCGTTTGAAACATTTTTGTATTTTCAAAATTTTTGAGTTGCTAAAATCAAATCTGATCATCTTCATTCAAGCCAACGGTGAATTAAAATTAAAAAATCCTCAATAAACCGAATTTTTGAAACATTTTTGGTTTCCGCAAATTAGAGAAATCTCAGTTTTTCCTTTGCCAAAATTAAGAAAACGCCAAAATTCAGTTGATCGGCTTTTACCTTGAAGATTTATGATTTCTGTTTTAAAGTGAAATAAAATTAGGCCCTTAAAAACCGATTCAAATAGCAATTTCATTGAAACATTTTTCTTTTTCTTGGAAAATTCGAGGTCCTGTACTGATGTTTTTCTATTTCAAAATCAACCTAAAAATTCCGAAAATTGTGTTTCACAAATTCAATTGACAAATTCTGCTTGTTCTCACATCAATTTTCCAATTTTTCCATTGATTTTACCTGTTTCTCGTAAAAATATCCGCCCATATTAGTGCCCTCCAGTCTTCACAAAATTTTTGGGT